TGGTTAGGCCCTATCATCTGGCCAACATTCTATTGGAAAAGGGGACACTGTACTTACAGCACAGTCCTTTTCAAAATGCTTTTTTTCCAAAATGGCAGTTAAACCTTGTTGGAGCTGAATTGGAAATGTTGCTCTAGGGAGTTGGTGTCTTCAGATGGCCCCAAATCCTCATGACTCCTCAGGAAATTGGCCATGGATGGCCGGCAGTCTTTGTGTCCAGGCCTTTGCTTCTTGCCATATGGCTGGAGCATGGTGTGGGTTTCCACTTTTTGAATTTTAATCCTTCAGAGCACTTAAGAGTTATCCTCCCCCATCCTTCCTGAGTAGAAGATGTTTTCTTCATTATGTTCCCATTTGCTGCTTCCGTCTCTGCTTACCGCAGAGCATCAACCAAAGGAATTTCATAGTGGAGCTCCAGGCACCTGGGGCTAGCATCTTAGTTCCCTTTGGAACAAATTAAAAGGTACCCGTTAGAAGAGCAAATGGGGGTGGTTAATTAACTAAGAATGTGGCACCCTGAGGCCACAGCATTGGCATTTATAGGTTTCAAGTAACAGGCAGCAAACAAGTATATTTAATTGTCAGCTCATTAAATATCAAAACAGTGTAGTAGCTAACAGCTTGGGATTGTTTCCTGAAGAATAGTTTATAAAGCTGCTGACCAGCTTTGTGAGTGGCCTTATCTGTTTTCTCTTGGTGTGGGCCTTCATTCTAAGCCTATAAATCACTGTGAAAACACCACACCAGGTTCTTGTGTGTATTACCTGGCTTAATCACAAATTCATTTCATTAGAAAACTAATATGTTTCAAGGGCTGACTATGTATGAACCAGACCCAGGACAATGGGCCAGGGGTTTGAGGACAGTCCTCTCACCCATGCTGTCATCTACCTCTGCTCTTTATCTTGTGCAGATTTCATAGATGGAGTTACCAGATCGTCTAGTTCCCACAGGGATTACCAGCAGAACACACTCCTTAGCCTGGTGGTCAGAACCTTCTGCCACCTTGCCCTGACCTATTTGCTATGTATCCTATGGTCCTTCAAGTTTCTGTACAGTGGAGACAGAAACTTGTCTCTGTACCTCCTGCCTCTCTTGAGTGTCTCCACATTGTCATCCCTGCAGCTTAGCTCATACCTGCTTATTGAGGCAGGAATCTTATTAGGAAGGATGACATAAACATTTCTTAGTTGTTATGTGTTAGATGCTGTCTGAGCACTTGATATATGTCATCTGATGTATCCCCCATACCAGTCTTTTACAGGATGTCTCCAGAGCGTTTGAACCTCTGAAATGAGGCTAGGAAATGTGCCCAAGGTCACAGGGAAAGTGGGTACTTTGAAAACACATCTTTGTAAGGCCAACCGCATTTTCTTAACCTCAACTCCATATAAACTCCAGGTCAGCCCACAGAAGCCCAATAGAGAATGGCAGAATCTCAATAGAAGCTCTGATGGATCAGGATTTCTGCTTAAGACCAGGGTGGGAGAGAAGGCAGCATCGAGTGATCACTTCTGGGAGTGGGATGGGAAGAATGACAACACACAGCAGGTGTGTGGCATCAAGGTCCAGTTCATTTGTATTGCGGGTGAAATATATGCAGATATTAGCTGTCAGTTGCTGTTGTGAAGAATTACCATAGGTTTAATGACTTAAAATGATACAGACTTAATATTCTGTAATTCCGGAAGCAGAACTCCAAAATGGGTCTTAATCTGTTGAAATCAGGTGTATGCAGGACTGGTTCCTTCTGGAGCCATAGGAGAGGATCCATTCCTTTCCTTTTCCATGCTCCAGAGGCTGCCGCAGTTTTTGGTTTAGTCACTCCTCCTTCCTCTGTCTTCAAAATCAGTGATATGTATCTTCCAGTCATCTCTGCCTCTCTTCTGCTTCCACTGTCACATCTCCTTTTCTGTGACACTGTCCCTTCAGTCTCCCTCTTATGAGAATCCTTGCGATAACATTGGACTCATCTGAGAACCTGGAGAACCCAGAATACTATCCGCATTTCAGCATCCTTGAACTTAATTACATCCTCATAGTTCCTTTTGCTATGTGAAATAACAGTCTCAGGTTCCAGATAAGAATGTGGACATGCTCTAGAGACCATCATTTCTGTCAGCCTTGAAATATAAAGGAACAGCAGGGTTCTGAGGACCAGCCTGGGTATACCATTTCTAAGGTGGTTTTTGAGGGCTGTGGAGCAGCTGAAGCATTATTTGGTGTGAGCTGAGGACAACCCTGTGGAGCATCTGTGATACATGTGCTGAGGCTGTGCATTGGAGAACTTCTGGGAGTGAAAGTGTCTTTAAAGTGCAGATAAGAACTGGTACCTGGGATGGCATCTTTTGCTTTCTGAACTCCATGTCCACGGTTGGCTGGTCACAGGGTCTTAGGGTCTCTAATTTTCTGTGGAATTAGAATCACCGTTTCACACTGACATGTGCAGAAGTGCCATGTAGGTAGACTGATGTATCAGGAACCTGGTATGATAGAGGCTGGACTAAGGCAGCCCACCAGGGAAGCAGGACCTGGATGATGGGAAGAGATTCATGGGAAGAAGAGAAGGGGACTCTTGAGATGCAGGAGCATCTGAGTGGAACTGCAGTGCTTTGGGAGGTTTGGAAGGTGGGGAAGGAAGTAGCCACACCAGCAAAGGTCTAGAGGAACATGGAACTTGTGAAGCACTGGAAGGAGGGAAGTGAGGTAGACATGTGTGTTTGAAGCTTATCTTGACACCCAAAGTTCCTTGAGGTCAGGACCTGTGTTTGGTTCATACTGAGTGCCCACCCCTGTGGGGTGTAAGACAAGTTGAAATGCTCAGTGGGTCGTGAATGGATGCCACATACAAGCCTTATAATCCTTGAGTTCAGCTCACTGATCCTCTTCTGAACAGCTCCACATACATCACAGAGACCTTATTGGGAGGGATTTAGGTTTTTGCTTGCATCACTGTCTTGGGCTCCTTTCCACAATGCATTAGCCATTGCAAGTGCCTGGTAAGTATCTGTTAAAAATATCCTACTGCTAGCTCTGGCAGCACCTGACTACAAGCTACTCAGGAGATTTGAGTCAGAAGGATAACAAGTTTGAGGTCTGACTGGGCAGCTTAATGAGACCCTGTCTCAAAATAAAATGAAAGAAAAGGGCGGGGGATATAGTGCAGTGGTAGAGTGCTTGCATAGTATCTGTTCAATCCCCAGTATTGCAAACAAACAAAAGGAAAAACCATGCTACAAAAGAAATATAAGGGAAACAGGAACAAAACCAAAAGCTGACTATGTCCAGCAAGTAGTGACTGGTCTCCAGCGTCCCTGTGTACTTAGGAATATGCTATTAAATGGAATGTGTTTCCTTTTTGAAAAGTACCTCCTTGCCAGACATGGCAGCACGTGCCTATAATCCTAGCAACATGGGAGGCTGAGGCAGGAGGATGGCAAATTTGAGGAGTAAGTTTAACCTGAAGTTCTGAAGGGAGAAGAAGGGTGGTTTGGGGGTCTTATGCTTTGGTCTCTGGCATTCCCAAAGGGTTGTAGGGACTGTTCTCCTGCCTGGTTGTCTCTCAGGGTCTCTGCCATCTCTGAAGGTTGGGCAGCCTCTAGTTTGTGACTTGTCCCTATGAAATCATGGATACTCTAAGGATTTTAATAAGGTAACAGTACTTTCCAAAGTTTCATTTCAGGCGAGGAGTTCTGGAACTTTACATATGTGGGGAAGTAAAAGTGAGTGGAGGAAGCTAGAGAATGAAGGTGAACCAGGAAGAAGGGGAGCTGCCACAGATCAGGGGTTGGGGGACCATGTTGATTTAGGTTTTGTGTTACTGCTTACTTATTTTCCCACTTTAGAGTGGGGTGTGTGTCCCTTTCTGCACAGCTGTGCTTTCCCAAGGTTCATGTATATCTGAGCTCAGGGATATGGTTTCAGTGGGCGTGACTGGCTTCAGGATAAACAGCGTGAACATGCCTGAAGCATATGGATGTGATGGGGTTGTGGCCTGAAACCTGGGCCCCATCAGAAGTGTTCTCCACATTGTGTCTCAGTGTAACAATTGCCCATTAAATACCAGGCTGCCAGCATATGGTTTTCCCCAACATCCTCCTTGTTAAGTGGAAACTTTAGCTGTGTGGCTAGAACATTTTCCCATCATTTAGCTCTTCAGAATTAACCTATTTTAGAGAATTCTGCAATTAATACTCAATGGCACATTTGCAGATTATTAGAGAAACAGCTAAGTCAAAGTGGGTAGATTTAGAGCTAGCTGCTCTTTCCCATAATGGATAAACCGTGGGGTAGGAAAAGGCGGGGTCAGTAGAAGGATTCTCTATGGATGCTGTAATTAAAGTGGGAAGTCTGGCGGAGTTGTTAGCCCTGCTATTAAGAGTGCAGATGGCTAATGGCCACATCACCAACAGTTAAGAATTAGACCTTTTAAAGTCTTTTTTCTTTTTCTTTTATGACCCACCCTGTGTATTCCAAGCATAGGTATGGATGCAGTGAAGAATTTTCTCATAAAAGTAACGGCTTATTCCCACACTCGTTCCCAGTCTGGGAATGAGAAACTGGTTTCCTTAGACTTGAGGAATTGCCTATCTGTCTTGGCTTAATAGAGCTTTCAGATGAGGGCGTCTGGTAAGAGAATTTTATAACCAATCACTTCTAAAAGTGGATCCAACTGGAACGACTCCAGCTGGCAGCCCTAGTCTTATTCCCAATTTTACTATTAATGAATTATTTAACCCCTAAAATAGAATAGCCTGTTCCTATTGTCTCAGGGGAAATGAGTGTCCATGATCCCCTGTGACCTGGCAGTAAGAAATCTCTTGGGCTGGAGGATGTTTGGCAGTTGTGATGTCATAGGATGGGTGGAAAGAATGGTGGGTGATACTTGGGGACTTGTATGACACTAAGCCTCTGCAATGTTGCATTTAGACTCCGTGGGGATCTGTGTTGGAAAAGTCAGTTGGCTTCATACTTAATTGTATTCTCTTGTTTTCCCACAGGGAGTGGGGCCAGCCAGCAGGAACAGCGGACTGCACAACATTACCTTCAGATATGACAGTAAGTAATTGGCTTGACCTGGAAGAATGAAGCACTTTCAGTAATCCACAGCTTACACTGTTGTACTTAAACAAGGACACAACAGATCTTGGGGTTGAGGACTTTTCAACATCGAGCCACTGAAGTATTTGGGACCTTGAATAGGTCAAGTGTCTTCCATAGTGTTCAGAAAAGTCACGTATGAAGACCTCCTGTGAATTCCTCAAGACATGACCAAGTCCTTACGAATAAGCACAGATGCTGGTCAGGCTCAGCAGGAGACAGGGGAGCAAAGCTGCCTAAGAACAGGATGTTAGGAGAAAGTGGGGACTACAGACTATGTTTGGCTTGAAGCAGACACTGAATTCTTACTTCCAGCTCATTGTGGTCTTGAGGAATTCCTATAGTTTAGCCAGATGTGGTTTCCAAGAGAAGTGAGAAATCTGTATTTTTTGTGAACATTTAAAAAATAATTGGCGTCTATCTTAAGAATATACAAACACAGGAGCTGAGTTTGTAGCTCAATGTTAGAGCACTTGCCTAGCATGTGTAAGACACTGGGTTCAATCCTCAGCACCACATAAAAAATAGGTAAGTAAAATAAAGGTATTGTGTCCATCTCCAACTAAAAAAATAAATAAGTAAATAACAAATACACAAACAGAGTGGGGCAAGTGAATCTGTGTCCCAGACTGACCAGAAGTCACCACTTGGTCACCTCTGGGCCTATGTACTTGCGCCTATGTCCCAACCCCAGTTTCCCACCTGTCAGCTCTGTGAGCTGTGGCAGGTGACTTGGTTTCTTTACCCATGCTTGTTTGCTCATATGAAACAAAAATTAGTAGACTGGGGCTATAACTTAGTAGTAGAGGGCTTGTATAGTATGCAGAAGACCCTGGGCTCCATCCCCAGCACCAGGGGGAAAAAAAAATTAGTTTCCTTCTCCTAGAATCATTTTGAGGCTTAAATGAGGTAGTGCTTACACCTGCTCAGCTTGGTAGCTGGTTTGAGTATACATTCAGGAAATACTATGTGTTAACAGAAGCCAGTTCAACTGGGGTTGAATAAAAACACCCTTTTTTGTCCTTTGTCCAAACAAGTGTGCCTTTTTTTTTTTTCCTGGATAAATGGTTGTTTAAGGATAGGGTGAGGGTGCTTTTCTCTGATTAAGCTAATAGGATCCCCACTAAGCAGCTGCTTTCATTCATAAGAAGGTTGTTGTATATAATTGTGAGCATTTTAGCCTTATGAGCTGTAATTCATACATGAAAATAACGAGAGGGAGCTTGACTTCTATTTGGTGACTCCTGACATCTCATTCATCTCTTGGAGAAGATTGTGAATTAGGGGCTTAGGTCATATGGAGGCCTCTAGAATAATCAGTACTAAAGTAGAGTTTTTGAGGTTATTGATATAGTCTAACAATAATAAGATACAAATATGTGTGTCAGATTCACACCCACAGTCACTGGCATGGGTATTTTAAGTTAACCAATGAGGGCTTCCACATGGAACTCAGGCATTTTGTGTTAGTGGGGTGTGCATGTTCTGGGTAAATGCTGTGATGGTAATGAAAGATTTGCAAGTTCATGATACTTGGTTCAGCTAAGTAAAGACATGTGTAAGGGATCTTTCTTTGAGTTAGAAAGTTAATTTCTAATAGATGCTCTTGGTCCTAGCAGATCTTATATTACATTCAGGAGTTCAAAATTTTCTGGTCAGCTGCAAACAAGTATTTGCCTTTCTAATTTAATATGAGTTTTGTGTAAAGGGATCTATACCTATAAAACTTAAAAGTATTCTATTGTTGTCTTCATTGTACTAAATTTTTGACCCATATGCCTATTCCCACCTCTTAGTTGTAATTTCTTCTTAATTCTTTAGCATTTAATTTGAATTTAATTCACAACTTGCATTGACTCCTGAAATGTCTGAAGCTCAGTTGCATTTTGGCAAAATGTCATTTGGGTGTAAAGTTTTTTGTTTTTTTTGGTAACCAGAATCCAAAACTTTAGACTTGCTAATAATTGGATGTAAGCTGTATAAAAAAAGCTTATTCAGTGTTTTTCACTGAAAAAGATATTTTTCTCTTTCATAGGGAAGTTCCTGTTATTGCTCAGCTGACTGATTACTAGTTGTGTTTGAAGTAGCTGAGAATCAATTACCAAGTTTTCACCAAAATTACTGAACTACAGAAACCGTTTTTTTCCCCCTATTCCTTTGTCAATTAATATTCTAGGGCTGGGGATGTGGCTCAAGCGGTAACGTGTCCGCCTGGCATGCGTGCAGCCCGGGTTCGATCCTCAGCACCACATACATACAAAGATGTTGTGTCCGCCGAAAACTAAAAAATAAATATTAAAAAAAATCTCTCTTTCTCTCTCTCTTTAAAAAAAAATATTCTAAAAAGAAAATGGGGGCTGGGATTGTGGCTCAGCAGTAGAGTGCTCATCTAGCATGTTCGAGGCCCTGGGTTCGATCCTCAGCATCACATAAAAACAAAAAAACAAAATAAAGGTAATGTGGGTATTGTATTCAGCTACTTCTAAAAAATAAATATTAAAAAAAGAAATGTCTTACCATTAAGTCATAATTGAATTTCATAAGCCTCCTTACCTCCTTTGACCCTGCATTCCATGCTTCCTTAGGCTCTGAGTGGGTATGCCTGACTAGGTTATAATACATTATCTTAATTCTTAGACTTTCTATTTACATAATTGTATTTATGAAAACCCAAAGAGTGTTAATTTTGGCATTAGGAAACCCATGAATTTCTCTTGTTTGCATTTTTTCAAAACTAAGTGAAAGGGTTCTCTTACATTGTAGGCTTCAACAAATGAAAATACTGGAACTTTACAAGTATGATAGGATCTTCTTTTTCTGTATTGGGAAGCTAGTGACAGCCAGAACTTTTTCAGACTAAACCCCTCAGACTCAAGAGCTTATGCTAGGAGAAATATACTTGTGCTGATCATAGAGTGCCAAGAACTATAAGGAACCCTCTGAAGCTGCTTTTTCTGCTTCTGCTCCTGGGCTCCTTCTGAGTCACCCAGGTGATCTCTCATGGTTACAGTTTCCTCTTTTATACAATGTAGGTGTTAAACCAGATATTTAAAGATGCTTTTTCCTATTCTAAATTCTCTTTTGAACTTGAAGAACACCCATTGATTGCTTTGAGAATGAGTTTCATCAAAAGTAGGATTTGGTTTTATTATTAACATTTGTTCAATTAGAAGTAATAGTGAAATATGAATGGCTGTCACTTTTTGAAGCAAATGAAGTTTAACGAAAGGAGTGCATCTAATGTGGTTAGGTAAGAAAGCAGGACAAAGACTATGTGGAGGATGCAGTTTTAAAAATGGGAGGTGTGGCTGGCTGTGGTGGTGCACCCCTATATTCCCAGTGACTTATAAGAGGCTGAGGCAGGAGGATCACTAGTTCAAGACCAACCTCATTAACTTAGCGAGGCCCTAACCAACTTAGACTCTGTGTCAAAACAAAAACTAGAAAGGGCAGGGGATGTGGCTCAGGGGTCAAATACTCCTGGGTTCAATCTCCAGTACCAAAAAAAAAAAAAAAAAAAAAAGAGGGAGGTACAATTTAGTGTATGGATGTTATACTTACATAAGAAATAAAAAAGAATATTATATACATACTAAAAGCTTTGTAAGGGCATCCATTGGAATGTTAATAGCAGTTATATCGTGTAAGAAGAGTATAGATGACTTGTTGTTATATTCCTTTGTGGTTTTTAAATGTCTATTTTTAGTTAAAAATGGGCATCATAGCTGGATGTGGTGGCACACATTTGAATTCCCAGTGACTCAGGAGGCTGAGGCAGGAGGATTGCAAGTTTGAGGCTAGCCTCAGCAATTTAGCGAGGCCCTAACAACTTAGTAATACCCTGCCTCAAAATAAAAAGGGCTGGGGATGTGGCTCAGGGGTTAAGTGCCCCTTGATACCAAAAAAAGAGAAAAAAAAAAAGAGGGAGAGAAGAGAAAATGCTCTGGAATATTTCACTCCTAAGAAAAACCTTCCGCTTCAGCAGAGAAACAGACAGATTTAGACCTTTGATGAAGAGAACTTTTTGCAGTAGACACTAAAGAGGGTATTCAAATTGAGTCATGGAGAAAGAAACAAAGATGAAGCAATAGTTGGTATCTTCTAGGGACAACCAATGGTTCTTCTGTTAAAGTGGCCAGAACAGCCATCTCACAGCCAGCTTCTCAAGTCCTAGCCTGATTTTGGCTGAAAGCTTCTGGCAACTTTTTAGGGGAGACAGATTTTGAAGGTGTATTTAGCAATACCAGGTGGTGCTGCTGCTCCCATGATTGTGGCTATACTGACAAGTGACAGTGAGTAATATACTCAGACAAAAACCAAAGAAGCAGAGGTGGTTTTCATTTTGGGAGCAATGTGGGGTTTTTGGATTTGATGAAGATTGTGTGTGTGTTTGATGACAGTGTTTCAGAACAAAAGTTTTGCCTTTGTGGTGCTAGTTAACATCCTTACCTGGGCACTAATGAATTGCTAACAGCATGGCTGTGAATCACTCCCCTGTGGATTCATATCTGCACGTTGATTCCTTGATTCCTTCCTTTCCAGTTGACACCTTGCCTTCTAGGTTTCTTCTAAAAACAAATAAACCCCAAATTATTTAGCAGTGTTTTCTTTCAGATCACTCTTTTTAATGCGGAAAGCTAGCTGAACTGATGCAAATACTTATTCACTTAGGTAAATGTCATCAGAGTTCAAGTCAGACACACACACACACACACACACACACACACACACTCCACACTGTGTATGTATGATCCTCCCAGGACCATCCTGGAATTTAACTCGGAGTGGGTGGTGGTAGTGATGCTATAAACAAATTCCTCTGTTGCATCTTGTAGTAACCTAAACGTCAGTCAACCTTGATGTCATGTTTGGGCTTTTGAAGCATGTGACTTGAAATGGAATGGATTTGGCCAGTTGTGGACATGCTTTGTGTAATTTGATAAGACAAACTTGAAAATAAAGATAAAATTTTAAATTAGACCATTCCTGTTCTTTCCAGACTGTACCACCTACTTGAATCCGTTGGGGAAGCATGTGATTGCTGATGCCCAGAACATCACCATCAGCCAGTATGCTTGCCACGACCAAGTGGCAGTCACCATTCTTTGGTCTCCAGGGTCCCTCGGTAAGTGTTCAGAAATCAGGTTCACCCTGGTGAGCCGGGTTAGTGCCTAATGCCAGAATTTCACATGTGCGGCAGGTAGGTCTTGAAGAGGATGAGGTGAGGTTGGATGGGGGCACAGACACACTTGGTCCTCTGAGGCTTGCACTTGCTGACTCTGCCCAATTTAAGACTGCTCCATGGCTCTTCGCGTTTTTTCTTTGACCCTTGAGAGACATGTGGGTTTCTAAAATAATAGTGTGTAGGTGATAAATGGCACCAAGTCCTTGGCCTCTGTGTCTCACTGCTAGTTGGTGGTAGGTGGTAACAGTGTCAGGAAAGCGCATGGCCCATTCAGGGGCAGACTGGCTTTGGCAGCCAGTGTTAGCGGTCTCTATGAACACATAGACATATGGACCCATCATTGACACACATTGTGATTTTTCAGGATTTCAAAGTTGGCAGCTAATTAAAATTTTATTTAAGTTGTGAGAGACCAAAACAAAAACAAAAACCCCAAATCAAAATGAGGACAGAAAGAGAACAAACCCACATTATCTGGCTAGATTCAGTTTGGCTGTTTGGATGTCTGTTTGTCCTCTTTTTTGGGGGGGCGGGGGTACTGGGGTTTGGACTCAGAGGCACTTGGCCACTGAGCCACATCCCCAGCCTTTTTAAAAAGTTTTTATTTTTGGACAGGGTCTTGCTAAGGTGGTTTTAGACTTGGGATCCTCCTGCCTAAGCCATTGGGATTACAGGCGTTTACCACTGGCCTGGCCTGTATGTCCTCTTGAATGAACTGATGATACCTAGGACGGGGATGGTTAGTCAAGCATGGACATGGGGAGGGAGCATTTGTTCAGATGAGCCTGGGTTTGAACCCAGAATCAACATTTTAACGTGGCTCACAGAGCCCCTGATTCCCTGTCTATCAAGAGTAGATGCAAGCTGTTCAGAGAGAGCTCTCAGAGCAGAGGGGCTATTGTTTTCATCAGAATCTGGGCCTCAGACCTGCCCCTCTGACATTGCCACCAATTTTAGACATTTTCCCAAACATAGCCAGGGATTGAGCTTGGATTTCTTAATCTGAAGAGGATAAATCTCAGAAGAACCCAACCATCAGAGAGGTGAGTTCACGGGGAGGAAGGATAGAGCTGAGGGCCTCACTCCCCTGTTCACAGAAGTAATTCTGAGTCTGAACCCCATGAGTTTTCCAAAAATAATATTATCTTAACATTTAAAGATAAAAACATTCTCTGTGGGTAAAAGGGAAGTGGTCATTCCATATAAGGCTGAAATGGTTAAGGGCTTGTTCCAAGGAATTGTGGGCTCCCTCATTAGAATAAAAGTAAGAGGTGTGAGCTGGTGGTTGGAAGACTAATACAGGGAACACAGAAGGCTGTGCTTTCCCTGAATGATGATTTATGGGTGTGTGTGTGTGGGGGGGGATGGACAGGTTCTATCAGGTTCTAACAGGAAAACTTGGAAGGCAGGAAAGCATGTGGGTTAAGGACACTGAATTAAAGTCAGATACTTCCTGGGTTTGAATTCTGCTTCTGTCCTGTCATTCCTGGTGACCTTGAGCAAGTTAACTTCTTTAAACCTCAATTTCCTCATTTGTAAATGGGGATAATAGCACTTCTGTGATTGTTAGGAATCAGTGAGTTTAAATGTGTAAAAGAGAACAAATAAGTTCATTTAGGGGAGGTTACTTTATAAAATAGCCTATCTTTTATAATAACAAGGTGTTACTAGTTTTATGGTAAATAAGTTCCTGCAGTGTAAGAATTACATTTGCTGCCTCTACCTCCAGACCCAGGTTTGTCATGGTGATTTCATGAGATGCCTGGCCTTTAATCATATTAATCAGTTTGCTCTTGTTAAATAATAATAATTCCAGGTACATTGCATAAATTAAATTTTTGTATAAACACAAAGGATTTGCTTAAAAAATTGTTTTTTAAACTCAAAAGGCAAGTTCCTATGAAATCTACTAAATAGTAGTTGTTCCAAAGACCTTGTGTCTTGCCATTATGTCTGAATCTCTGGGCCTGTGGATTAGCTGGCCATCACCCCGCAGGAAGCTTTGTGATTGAAACCTGACCTACTAGAATCAGTTCTGGGGCTCTGAGCACTCTGAACCCCTAAAATATGAGGTTCTGATTGTGTTGCCTCCACCCTATCCACCATGAAAAATGTGCTGTTCATCAAATAATTACAGGATTGGAGAACCTGTTCGAAAAAGAAAAAGATTTCCTTGGCCTTTGCCATCAATAATTTTCCCACCTGGTTAATTGCATCCTGTGTAATTACTTTTGCCTTAGGAGAGGGAGGTTTGAAAATGTCTCCTTGTCTAGTGTTCAGAAAGAATGTGAAATCGATATCTCGCCAATTGAGGCCCGCTTTGGGGATCTCCAGCTGCAGTTGGACCATTCTGGTCTCCATGGGATACAGACCCCTGGTGCTGGCTCTTGTGGCCATCAGGGCTTAATCCTTTTGAAAGCATCTAGTGGGACGTGCAGTGGGGGAAGCTCAGGTGGCAGGAGGTTGGGCCAGCGCCTTTCAGCAGCGCCATGGGTGTCTGGCCTCTAAGCGCTATGTGAAGAGCACACACTGGGCAGCCCTTGGGTGTCTGCCTTACAGTGATTAGAGCAAGAAATGCTTTGTAAATGTATCAGCATTCTCCTAAACTATTATTCTCTAGTCTAGGAACCCCTCAGGTGCAGACACTATGTTGGGAATTTTGTACTCTGCTCAGTGAAACATAAAAAAAATGTAGAGCTAAAACTTAAAGTGGAATTGTGGTTGAGGGACACTTCCCAGTCAGCATTGGGAATTGTCAGCTGAATGCTCCTTGTTCACTGACCTAGAAATTATATAGTTCACTGCAGACTTTTATGATCAATTGTGACTTGGGTCTAAATATTTGAACCCTGATGTTACAGAGGCAGTGGATATTTGTGAAATGGCCTGGTGGATTAGAGATTAATTATAATAGTAATGGTGGGACAGAGAAAATCACTTGTCTATCCCAGAGGACCGCAGGATATGTTCATTTCCTTTCTGTTCACCCAGATGTCCTAGGCAGAGCAAGGTCTTTACATCTGGTGTGTAGGTGGAGAGGACCCTAATCTTGGAGGAAGGAAAGTGTGTTCAGAAGTAATTAGGTTTGCTTTTCATAAAAGCATCCTGCTTTGCTTAGGCATTGAATTCCTAAAAGGATTTCGGGTAATACTGGAGGAGCTGAAGTCGGAGGGAAGACAGTGCCAACAACTGATTCTAAAGGACCCAAAGCAGCTCAACAGTAGCTTCAAAAGAACTGTAAGTCACACTTGGGGAATGTGCTCCTGAAGACATGCCATTGTTCCTGGGGTCTGAATGGTCTATTGAAAGTCTGAAATTGGAGAAGCAGAGCGGTGGGGTCCACCCTGCCTGCCAAGGTGGGCTAGGATGGGGAGGCAACACCAGCCTGATCTTCAGCACCTCTCTTTGGTAAACACACTTCTCAGGTTACATTCCAGCAGCCATCCAGAAAGTGTCTGTACTCTGCGGGAGTTTGTGGGCTCACTGTCCTCTCCCTGCAACTCTGAGGTTCAGGCTTAACTAGCCATGGCTTTCTTGCCAGAGAACAGACAGTCTTGTCCATCTTCTGAGTTACAGATCCAAATTCAAACTTGGTTCAGGAAATGGACCTGACTTTCTGCTTCCCTGGGGCATATCCTCAGCTCTGAATTGTGTCTGAAAGATAGTTTGGGTAGAAGTGAAGGTCTCAGGTGTGAGTGACAGGGTGGGTAATTTCTTCATGACACCACATGTGTTTTTGTTCCCTTTTAGGGAATGGAATCTCAACCTTTCCTGAATATGAAATTTGAAACAGATTACTTTGTAAAGATTGTCCCTTTCCCTTCCATTAAAAACGAAAGCAATTACCACCCTTTCTTCTTCAGAACTCGGGGTGAGTATGCTCTTTCCTGCCTGGTTCCCTTGAGGAGATGTTTCTCTTGCTTTTCATGATTGCTCTACAGAGATATATTCAAAATCACACCAGATACCAGTACAAAAGAAGCAGGATGAGGAGAAAAGCATCCAGAGGAAAATTCTAAAAATATACTTTTTAAAATGAAGGTTTGGCCCAGGCTTTGTTAACCTAACCAGAGACACCCACTCCTGGTTTATTGTAAAACAAACCTGATGGCTGATTTTTTTGAGGACACTATAACCACCATTAAGACAGCCACGTATTAAAATAATGTGATTTTTTTTGCGCTGGGGGTGTAGTTCAATGGTAGAGAATTTGCCTAGCATGTGCAAGGCCTTGGGTTTGATTCCCTAGCATCATACACACACAAAACAAATGATTTTTTAAAATCCAGGAATAGGAGTGGGGCTGTAGCTCAGTGGTAAAGCACTTGTCTCCCAGGTGTAAGGCACCCTTCAATCCTCAGCACTACATAAAAGTAAATAAAGATACTATGTGTTCATCTACAACTAAAAAAAATACTTAAAGGGGAAAAAAAACAACAACCCAGGAACAAAAGTGTAAGTTGATTTTGGGGTGTAGGGTGGGAGCATGAAACAATTCCATTTTATACCTGTTATTAGATGGTAGTCAGGATTAGATTAAGAAAATTAAACAGTATTCCTGAGACCACCTATTTCTAGAAATTTTAACTTACTTAACATTCATGTGCCAGGCCCTGTTCTAAATGCTTTCCATGTATTAATATACTTTATCTCTGTAACAATCCTATAAGGATACCGTCCCCACTGACTAGGGTTTTGAGTCACAGGGTTAAAAGGGCTTGAATTTGGAGCTTGAGTTTCATCCTCAGAAATACAGAGATGGAGTCCCTCCCTCCCTTCAACCATGAGCCATCTGGGTTTCCAGTTGCTCCCCTTTCCCTGTTCATGTCTCTTTTAATCTTCCTAAATCACTGTTTTCAAATGTGATGTCCAGTTCCCCTAAAACTTTCAGTGGCCCCTTTGACCCCCTTTGGCATGATCCTGATCAGTATGATCTTGATGCTCTGTTCTCAGCTTTTTGTTGCTGTCACCAAAATACCTACCTGACCCAAACAACTTAGAGGAAGAAAAGTTGGTTTTAGGCTTATGGTTTTGGAGGGTCAGTTCATGATCAGATTCCATTGCATGCGGCTGAGGTGAGGCAGAACATCATGGCAGAAGGGCGTAGTGGAAGAAAACTGCTCAGCTCAGACAGCCAAGAAACAGAGAAGAGCAAGTGAGGCATCAGGGAAACATAAAGACCAAAGACATGCCCCCAGTGACCTACCTCCTCTAGCCATCCCCTATTTGCCTATAGTTACCACGTAGTTAGTCCATTCAGATTATTAACCCCCCCATCCAATTCACGGATTAGGTTGTAGGTCTCATAATCTAATCATTTCACCCCTGAACATTCCCACATTGACACAGGAACTTTTGGGAGGCATCTTATATCTAAACCATCACACTGATGTCCCCTCTTTTGTAGTCTGATTGTCATCCTTGTGCTCTTGAGATTTTTGGTCTCAACTCTAGCCTATGTCCATGTTTCCCTTTGTAGAATTCCTACTGTGGTTGTTTTCTGTGCTTCAAAGTTATAACAATTAGTCTTTTTTTTTTTTAATTAATGTAAGATTCCATAGAGCAAAAACCATGCACATGTCACATTTCTTGATGCTTTGTATATAATAACCAGATGTTGGATTCAGAGAGTGTGTTTATAAGAACCTTGCCTGGATAATAATGAGCATAATTTAAGATTAATTTTCCTATTGGAATTAATTTGTCTATTTGGGGGTAAGGTGGAGGTAGGGCATACATTCCTGGAATGTAGACCTTTGTCACCATTTCAGTGCATTGTAGCTTTGAAACTATCCTTTTTGGGGGGAGGGGGAGTATTGTATGAATTTTCAGAAGACTCTCCCTGGGTTAGCAGCATGACATGTTGGGCTAGTCATTTGTCCCTTCAAATGTGTGTTTTTATCACATTTAAATCCTTGTTTCAAAGCTACTGGTTTCAGTACCTGGTTTTCAGCACTGACACTACTATTTAATAAATGCCTGATTTTCATTTTTAGAGTCCACAAAGGATTTTAAATAAAAATACTAATGATGATCAAAATAACCCCTTGACAGTTACCAGAGCCACTCCAAAGTTCTCTTGTGCCTAGACACTTCCACAGTGGAGTGGGGACCACCATTATTTCTGTTTACAGTTAAAACAGCCTCCATGTGATAGTAGCATGAACATGGTTATGCTGCCCTTGGCTTCCAGCCTTCAAACTATGTAATGTTTGACAAGCTTTTAAAATCTGGGTGACTTTTATACTGTTTCCACTTATGTAGAGTAAAGTGAACTACATTAACCTTTTTATATCATACCATTTAAATTTTCATAAGATAGAACTTCTGCCCTGCAGTGAAAAATCATTGTTGAATTGATGCATTTTATTCCCTTTCCAGTAGCACCAAGCATAGTGTATTTAAATTTTATTGAATTGCTGGGTAAGGAAAATGTCAAACTGTCCTAAAATTAAAGATATGTATCTCTTTCAATAGCCTGTGACCTATTGTTACAACCGGACAACCTTGCCTGTAAACCCTGTAAGTATAACAGTTCTTATCTGTCAAGTCTGAAAGTGTTGCCACTGTGAGAGCATTGGGAGGCCTCTGAATGCTCACTCTGGCTGCTTCCTCCTCCCAGTCTGGAAGCCTCGGAACCTGAACATCACCCAGCACGGTTCAGACATGCAGGTGTCCTTCGACCATGCACCACACAACTTTGGCTTCCGTTTTTTCTATCTTCATTACAAGCTCAAGCATGAAGTACCCTTCAAGCGAAAGACCTGTAAGCAGGTGAGCTGCTGGTTATGCATAAAGGAGCACCTTGTGGTTTAAAGTGACTCCTGGGTCTCTGGAATTTGGGTGGCTCAGTGTGAGCCCTAGGCTTTGGTGGCAATATCAGTAGATATTCTAGAATGTTTAGCACTGGTTATATCTTAGGCCATCTTCCCTTCATCCCTTATTTCCTACTTGTCTACACCTTGACCGGTTCTAGTAGTGATATGATCTATAAAAAGTATTTCTAAGGAATCAAAAGAGTTAGTATTTTTAGTTTGTTTTTCTATGTTTTGAACATTCATCAAGTGCTCATTGTGTGGCAAACGATGATCTTTCCACTCCATGAATCTTGAGCACTCTTTGAAACAGAGGCTACTGTAATCCCCATTTACACATGGGGAATCTGAGACTCAGGGAGGTCACCTAGCTTGATCAAAGCCACACAGCTGATAAGGAGGGAAACTAGAACTAGAAGCAAGCCATTAGCAGTCTACTGGCCCCTGGTTCTACCTACAGGCTAAGGTAATCAAAATCTTAAACCAAGATCAGAGTGATCAGAGAAGTGGGAAACATTTCCTGAAAGCTCACAGGATTGCCAGATTGCCCACTCAAGGACCAAGAGAGGTTATTGGTCATGGTGGCCAAACACTGTCCCTTCCTACACATGCCCCTGCACTTGTCGGGTTCTGACTTAGTTCTGCTCTCTTGCTAGTTCTCACCTCTATCATTGACCTTTGACTTTCTGCCCAGGTTAAAATTGTGGCAAATGAAATAACATGCAAACCTAGACTCTAGTATCTTTTCCTTTCCCTTTTTAAGTAGAGGGTACTAGAGGGTATTTGAACTTTTTTGGGGGGGGCCTTCAGATGAAATATTCCTGCTGAGGGCACCACCAGCTAAGGATAGAATATGACAGGAGTCCAGGGCTTTCTACCTTTTACCCAGATGTGAAGTTCAGATAACATGAGTCAGATAAGTGCAGCTGCTTTCTGACCTAATTGTACCATCTGAAAGTATGACTGGTGGCAAGTTTCCTTCAGCTCTAGGGGAGAGAAGAGTCTCTGATGCCCTTTTCCAAGAAGTGAGTTTTTAAAGTGTTGGTTGCTTCTTTACAGGAACAAAATACAGAGACAACCAGCTGCCTCCTTCAAAATGTTTCTCCAGGGGATTATATAATTGAGGTATGTATAACTATAGAAAGCCCTATTATTAATTCTACAGGATGTAGTTCATGTACAGTTTTAACTTTATGGCACTAATATTTCAAGCCATTGAAGGTGAGCACAGTTATATTTTTACATGATTCTTATGCTTTTTAAAAAAGTTTATATATAATTGATATCTGATCTTTTCATTAAAGAGTTCAAGTATGTATTTTTATGTAACCACATAGTCCACATAACTATGATATAAAATTTCTATATAATATTCTTTGATGCTACAAAGATATATTTTTAAAAGTTTAGCTTTAAAAATGCTTTGTTTTGGGGTGTAGCTCAGTGGTAGAGCACATGCCTAGCATGTGCCAGGGTCTGTGTTTGAGGCGCAGCACTGCAAAAAAGAAAGAAAGAAAGTTTTATTTTATTCCTAAACAGCAAAACAAAAGTTAGTCCTTTTATATCTGCCTATATTGCTCTAGGATTTCCATTGCTGTTCTCAACAGACACTATTTCAAAGAGTATGTAAATGATATGTTTCTTTTCTTTTTTAAGATTCCTTTTCCAGTATCAAATTGGTACTATAAGAATTGAGATAAAAGTAAATTAACAATTTGTTCATTGCCGTATGATTCAAAGACAATCAGCGTGTCCTAACATTTTGGTAGAAAGACCTACTTATTGCATTCCTCAGTAGCAGTGTGTGTTTTGGGCCAGACACACCTTCTTAAAGTATTCATGCAGGCCCAGTAAAATCAGTGTAGGATGCCAGTTTAATAGAAAATTGTTAGATTGTGGGATTCACTCACTGAATTTCTTCAGTGAATAAGCAGCCTTTTTAATCATGACAGGAAATTGGATGGTTAGAGGTTTGAGTTGGCAAAGCAGAGATGAACCCTGATGCCTAGTCTTAGCTTGGTAAATGATTACAGGCCAGTAGCTTTCTGTCTCCCTCAACTATTCTTTTCTACTTGTGCTCCTACCCCCCCCATCACACTTGCACACCAATGGAATAATGAATCAATTCACTCTTGCATTGTGTCCCACCCCGCTACCTGCTAGACACAATTTGTTGAGGTGCTATCACTTTTTTAAAAAATAATACAGTGTCCTCTGTTTTGCAGCTAGTAGATGATACCAATACAACAAGAAAAGTGATGCATTATGCCTTAAAGCCAGGTAAGAATTGTTGTGTTTAAAATTTAGGTCTAGACTACTGTAGACTTAAGGTATCTAATACTTTCTATATTTTATGGTTTACAAAAACAAAACAAAATGCAGCACTTCCCTCTTAAATGATATTCCATCAAATGTGAGTTTCCTTCCACCTTCATGTTGATGCCTGGAAGATCAAAGCCAGTGTGGTATCTGTCACTGGAACTAAATAAATAGTCACTTGTCCTTGGGAGAAAAGTGGTGGGAGAAGAGGTTTTCTTAGGCGAAGTTCCCATTCAGAGCTATTTACTGTCTCAGTAGACTCAACTGTTGAATTATTTTCTACAACCCTTTAAAAATGAACCATTGAATCATTTTATAATCACCACAACTAGAGATAAGTGGTTTTGGGGTCCTAGAACCTGTGGGGCAGCTTAATGTTTATAAGAAAAAAGTTATTTATCTTTAAACCTGTTATGCTGCTCAAGTTTAAAATCCTTCCGTTTGAAATTTCTCAGTGCATTCTCCCTGGGCTGGGCCTATCAGAGCTGTGGCCATCACAGTGCCACTGGTTGTCATATCGGCATTTGCAACGCTCTTCACTGTGATGTGCCGCAAGAAGCAACAAGGTATATCTTCGTATCTTTCCACCTCCCCACCCAGGGGGCAGGTCAGAGGTCAGAGCCAACAGAGAGGGAGGTTAGGAATACCTGGTTCTTCCAGGTGGGTGTCTGGGAAACCTTAGCTCCTAGTCAGTCCCTGGCTTCTCAAGTTCCCAGAATTAAAATAGTTGAGTAAAATCTCAGGAGCCATTAAAAGGGTAGGCACAATTCAATTCTCAAACTAAATTTAGGAGCATGAAGGAAGTCTGATGCAGGAATAAGGATAGAGGAAGGACCTGATCGTTTATAAAAATCAGGTGTCATGTGAAACCCTTTTTAGGAGCTGGAAATAATCTATACTTTGGTTTAGATGGGGGTTACACAGATGACACTTATATTAAAATTCATCAAGGTGTACACTGAAGAATTGTGCACTTTTAGCTGGGCATGGTGCATGCCTGTATTCCTAGATACTGAGGAAACTTAGGTAGAGATGCTTTAGCCCAGGAGTTGGAAGCCAGTCTGGGCCTGTGAGACACCCACCCATAAGAAAGAGAGAGAAAGAGAGAGGGAGGGAGGGAGGGAGGGAGGGAGAGAGAGAGAGAGAGAGAGAGAGAGAGAGAGAGAGAGAGAGAGAGATGTGTGTACTTTACCTTTGTAAATTATACTTCAATAAAACTTTTTTAAGGTCAACTCTGCCAATGCTTAATTTGTCTAGCAGGTACACTTGATTTTAGGAGCCAGTTCTGGGCACTTCACTGACCAGAATGGACCCTGTAGCATTTCCTGGCTTGTCCAAGGTCAGTTTCAGATTAGGAACAGTTTTTGATCTTTTGATGCTCCATTGCAGAAATCTGCTGTCCCATTCAGTGATGATCCAAGGGTCTGATGGAGTCGTGGGATTAGGACTCTCTAGGTAGACATGTCAACTGTTCTTTCTTGAGGATGTTGTTGAGTTCCAAGTCATATGGAACAAGATGAGGCTTTGTTCATAGGTACCAACCCTGTCTTCTTTCCCAATTTAGAAAATATATATTCACATTTAGATGAAGAGAGCTCTGAGTCCTCCACATATACTGCAGCACTCCCCAGGGAGAGGCTCAGGCCGAGGCCGAAGGTCTTCCTGTGCTATTCCAGTAAAGATGGCCAGAATCACATGAACGTTGTCCAGTGTTTTGCCTACTTCCTCCAGGACTTCTGTGGTTGTGAGGTGCGGAATCTAAAGTCTATTCTTTTACTTCGGGCGGGACACATGGTTTGTACTCCCTCATTGCTGCCTCTCTCTTCTAGGTCTGCCCTTAATTAATGGCATAGTTTCCAAACTGGAGACAGTCTTGCTTTGATCTTTCAGTCTGTCTTTCCCATCATCAGCACTAATGTTTCTTTTTTTCTTTTTTTAATTTTTTAGTTATAGGTGGACACAATGTCTTTATTTTATATTTATGTGTGCTGAGGATTGAACCCAGTGTCTTATGAATGCTAGGCAAGCACTCTACCTCTGAGCCACAACCCCAGCCCAGCACTGATACTCTCATGCCTAAAACCCTTGAGTGGCACCCACCTGGAAGGAAGTTTTATGAGCACTAAAAAAATCATGGGCTTGCCATGGGACTATGTACCCGGAGTGGGACATTCTACTCAGGGGTCACTCAAGACATCGGTGAGCATGTGCTGGGCATGAGAGAGTTTGCTGAGAAGGGGAATGGAAAATGGGACTGATGCGGGAAGGGATCTTGTGGGACTAGGGAGGAATGTTTAACAAAGTGCTCCTGAGTTTTGATGATTGACTGGTACAGAGTCATGGAAAGGGAGAAACTGGTGATGTAGGAGAAGGCAGTAGCTGCAGACAATCAGGCAGTGGGAAGGGAGGAATCCATAAAATAGTGATGTGTCAAATGCTTGATTGCTGTTTTTTAGAAATTTTTGAGTTAACTATGAATACTTAGCTTTTCTATAATGCCATAGTTTTGATTTTTAGAGTGACTCTCAAGTGAAAACCACACCCTGTTTCTTAAAAATGCAATAATTGTACAGTAATTGTGTAGCTAGAAGTCATTTGTACTCTGAAAATGCCTGTCAGCCTGGTCTTCAGATTATCTCCATGTGGTAAGGCTGCCCTCTGCTGTCAATTAAACGAATCTGAAGGCTGGTCTAGTCTCCTGGCCTTAAGCACCTGCTGGAAAAACAACTGCAAAATCTAGCCAGTGGCACATGCTATCTTCAGATACCGCAGACATATCTAATGTATTTTTACCCAGACTTTTTTTGAACTCACATATATAATTTTGCATTTTGGGCAGATTGGAATGGTTTACTTCTGTCTCTTCATAATTTTCTACTTTATTAGCAATTCTATGTAAACTGAAATTTTAAATAGTCACATAATCCATAGTATTGATGTACTACTCCTGTAATCCCAGCAACTTGGGAGGCTGAGTTAGGAGGATGGTAAGTTCAAGGCCAGCCTCAGCAACTTAACAAGACCCTGTCTTAAAATAAAAAAGGACTGAGAATGTGGCTCAGTGGTGAAGTGCTCTGGGTTCAATCCCCAAAGTGTTGTGTGTGTTTACCATAAATGAGTTCATATATATTATTAAACTTCTCAGTAGTTAAGTACTGCCCCATTTCTGATGATTTCCCCAGAATAAATGCCTGGAAATGGAATTGCTGAGTCAAAGATAGGAATTTTAAAAAATTTGCTTGGTGTATTTTCCAAGTTAGCTTTAGCAAGTATAATGTCAGCAAGAATTAAGGAAAGTATAAGACAGTTAAGGATTATTTTCAGTAAGTGGATGGATGTTGGGGCTTTCTTTTCTTTGGTAATATTTTACAGCAGAGGAAGATAACAAGGCCATTTCTGAGTGCCCATTCCTTCTAAAACATTGTATCTGCTATGTTTGGTCATAGTCATTGAGAATTTGTTTTTAAACTTAGAAGGAATCATTCATACCAACACAATTGTCAAGACATGTTGTCAGCAGAATCAGATGAAAGTCGTCAAAGGTTAAACCCTCTGAGGGGTCACACATACCTGATTTTCATTCCCTTGTCAGGGATACACCACCACCACCAACCTCCCTACCAAAGATCATACCCCAGAGGCCTTCTTGATCATAAGCCTTGTAGAGATGTGACACTGTAGATCTCTATGAAGCTGTGAAGGAAGGTACTTGTTATTCTGGAGTGAGTTAACCAGAACATAACCAGTTGTATTGTTTTATCAGTTCACCAACCTCTTCTCTGGCATTGACCAAACAACATGGCTGAACCCAGGTTGGTAAGAGTTACCATTACCAGAGAAATCCTCTTGGCCATCCATGTTCTCTGGATGCATGACTTTGGCATATAGGCCAGAGCCCCATTTTCCAGCACAGTTGGCTCACTCATCCTCCTCTTGAGTCTAGTCTGTTAGCCTTCTTTCCAGGATCTGCTCCTTGGCAGCCTCTCTTATAATCCAGTATCAGTCCCTTCATACTCTGTGCTCTGCACCATACTGTGGGTTCCTTAAGGCCATACTTGTGATGACTTAAGACCAGCTGGTAAAAGCTCAGTGCTTCCATCTTCTCACTTCTGGGGTGCCAGTGGTAATGACCTTACATAATGCTAAAATGAGTTGATGGATAGCAAGCCCTTTCAGAGGGCCTAGTGTGTGAGTCTCACTGTAGAACCTCAGCTGTTTGTCTGCAACACAGCCTGCCCATAGATGTGCTTATAGATGATGCTTATAGATGATGTGACTTCCTCGGACATTCACCATCTTGTTACTCCTGTCTCCTGTGGAGTAGATGAGGGAGCTGCCTTGTTTTCTTTCCAGGTGACACTAGACCTATGGGAAGATTTTAGTCTCTGTAGAGAAGGACAGAGAGAATGGGTCATACAGAAGATCCATGAGTCCCAGTTCATCATCGTGGTGTGTTCCAAAGGAATGAAGTACTTTGTGGAAAAGAAGAACTACAAACACAAAGGAGGTGGCCGAGGCTCAGGCAAAGGGGAGCTCTTCCTGGTGGCAGTGGCGGCTATTGCTGAAAAGCTCCGCCAGGCAAAGCAGAGTTCATCTGCTGCGCTCAGTAAGTTCATCGCTGTCTACTTTGATTATTCCTGCGAAGGTGATGTCCCCTGCATCCTGGACCTGAGTACTAAATACAAACTCATGGACAACCTTCCCCAGCTCTGCTCCCACCTGCACTCCGGAGACCATAGCCTCCAGGAGTCAGGACAGCACCTGGGACACAGCAGCAGAAGGAACTACTTTCGGAGCAAGTCTGGACGTTCCCTGTATGTCGCCATTTGCAACATGCACCAGTTTATTGACGAGGAGCCCGACTGGTTCGAGAAGCAGTTCCTACCCTTCCATGCTCCCCTCCTGCGTTACCGGGAGCCTGTCCTGGAGAAGTTTGACTCAGGCTTGGTTTTAAATGATGTCATCTGCAAACCAGGACCAGAAAGTGATTTCTGCCTAAAGGCTGATGCTGCCGTTCTTGGGGCCACTGGGCCTGCCGACTCGCACCCGCACCCCGAGAGTCAGCATGTGTGCCTGGACCAAGACCCCGAGGCCCCGTCCCAGGAGAGTGGCTCCACACTGCAGCCCTTGCTGCATGCTGTGAAAGCAGGCAGCCCCTCAGACATGCCGCGGGACTCGGGTATCTACGATTCATCTGTGCCCTCGTCTGAGCTGTCTCTGCCTCTGATGGAAGGACTCTCAACAGACCAGACGGAAACTTCTTCCCTGACGGAGAGCTTGTCCTCTTCCTCCGGGCTGGGTAAGGTGCTATTGATTCAGGTTTGTGGTACACACTTTCGCAACATTTCTAAAGTAGGTCAAAGTGTTTTTCTAATTTTGGTGCTGACTTATTGGACAATTAAACCTAAAGGAAATAATATGGTTTCTTTGGTAGACTGGATTTATCCAAGTAATGTGAATATTTGATCTGCAGAAATACTGATACTAAATTATGGTAAGCTGCCTAGACCCCACAAGGGGGGTTATATAGCATATGGTATGTGTATTATATTGTCTTCTTGAAATCCAGAAACATTGGAATACCAAAATACATCGTCTGCCAGGGGGTTGGGTAAGGGTTTATGAGACTGTGTCTTTGTTGGGACCTGTGGTATTTATTGCCCCCTTCCTTCCCATTGTCTTTATTTTAATTTTAATTTTTTCATATCAAAAACTTAAATGAACCCAGAGGCACTTTACCACTGAACTACATCCCCAGACTTTTAAAAAATATTTATTTTTTAGTTATAGGTGGACACAATACCTTTATTTTTATGTGGTGCTGAGGATCAAACCCAGTTCCTCACACATGGTAGGTGAATGCTCTACCTCTGAGCCACAATCCCAGCCCAATCCCCAGCCTTTTTTTATATTTTATTTTGAGACAGAGTCTTGCTAAGTTGTTGAGGGTCTTGCCAAATTGCTGAGGCTGACCTTGAACTTGAGATCTCTCTTGCCTCAGCCTTCTAAGTGCTGGGATCACAGGAGTATGCCACCACTCCAGGCTTTTCCATTGCCTTTAAAATCACATCTGTTGGACTAGAGGTTCATTGGAGCAATACTTTTTCCCTTCTAGCTCAGTATAGGGCCCTAAGTGGGAGGGCTCTGTAGGAGGGCCCACCTCCCCCAGGGAACCCCAGGATATTATCTCAGGCTGCTCCTTACCATGCCTGTAACTAGTTGGAATTATGTATAGAAACCCTTGACCCTCAAGGAAGGTATCTTCCTTCTTCAGGGTAAGGGAACTGGAATCTGTTAAGAAGATAATAGTGCTACATCTTGAACTGATTATGATTCCTGCATCATTTGTGCAAAACCTGTACTCCAAATGCAATTCCAACCATATCTTTGTATGGGCGCCAGGTTCAGTGAAATGCAATGACTGTGTGAATCTGTCCTCTTTTCTCTCCTTAGGTGAGGAGGATCCTCCTACCCTCCCTTCTAAGCTCCTTGCCTCTGGAGTGTGCAAAACAGAACTTGGTTGCTGCCGCTACACTGATGAACTCCACGCGGTTGCCCCTTTGTAACAAAACAGAAGAGTCTAAGCATTGCCACTTTAGCTGCCACTACTCTCTGGTACCATAGCTCATCTCTGGTCACATGGCCTTCTTGCAGCTGAGGGCTCATAAAAGGATATTTGGAGTGAAATTCTGGCCAGTACTTGCTCCTGCTGCCCCAGCCCTCTACCAAATATGTTGGCAGAGTCTCCAATTTTCCAAGACCATATGGAACTCTGAAAGGCATGTCCATGGAGTCTGACAAGACCTTGCTATATTAGGTCAGTTTTTGGATCAGAGCCTATAATGAAAGGTAGAGAGGAAACAGTTAAAAAGAAACAGGATAATACTCACAATGACCATTCAGACTTCACTGAGCGCCATAAACAAACTTTGCTCTTCACTGTTAATTACTTTGATTTGAAATGATCTGTGGAAAAAGCACTTGTAATATCATTATCACCACAGAAATCAAGTGCCATTCTCTCTGGAATCTGTTGTATTGCAGATGTCGTCCTATCCATTTTTGATGTGGAACTTACGATGTCAGGGGTATTACGTTAAATAAGTTTTGAGTCAATGTCAAAGAAGTGACTGAATATCCAGTCACCTTTTAAAAAGTCTTTATGTATTGCTGGGTGACATGGCTGTTTGATGAGGGGGCCATAAAGCAGGCCGACTGTCTTGCTCATTCTTTCTCAGAGTCTTCTTATAATCTAAGTAGGCATCATGTGAAGGCCAGAGCTGCCTATCAAGTTTCCCTGGGTTACACTTACTGAGCTGTAGCTCAGATGATGGTGTCTGGACATTTATTTTAAGAGACTGTTACCCAACTGGGCTGTATTTTTGAAAGTTGTAGTTCATGCTTCATTTTGGCCTTTTGGTCTAAACTTGAATCATAAATATTAGGGATCAGAATTTGCAAAAACACAACAGTGTGTGGAGCTGATCTCCTCAACTGGTTTTGATTGATGACAAGTTTCCTTTTAAGAAAGTAGAAATGAAGGGACTGTCACAGAAGTTATTGTTACATTTTTATGAATGACTCCTCTACACAATCTCTGTTTCCAAAGGAAAAATGTTTGTTCATATCCTGTTTGTTGATTTGCATGTGTGTGATGATGTGTTAGTCTCCTCTCTGGAAACCCTTGCCCTCCCCGTGCCCTGGCACAGGTATGAGCATCTCTCGACACCTTTTTCACCGGGGGCCATTGGATTTTGGCAGTCCATTTTCTCATCATTTAGTCTAGGGATTGTGGCTTTCCTTCATCAGATAGGACCAACATTGGTAAGTGGGATGGGGCAGAACTTTATCTTTCAAGCATGTGCTTGTCAGGTAGGGAAGGGAAGGCTTGCAGTTCTGCTGGAAAGAGGTTTGTGTGTATTTTGGACTCAAATGTACTATTCTCTGCTCTGTAAAGGCAGCTGGCAGCTTCTTGGGATAATGTGCTCATCTGTTCTCTGGCATCAAGTTTCCTGCAGCTGCTCTGAGGGAGAGACAGTGAGCTGCAAGACTGTCTCCCCATGAAACTGGCTTCTTGGTAGAGATGTTCTGTGTGGAATCTAAGACAAGCACAGAGCTCCTGCCCAAGTAAAATTGCCCTGCTGTTTTCATTGTCCACATACATTCTGTGAAGGAGATCAGTGGGTCCAAACTTGCTAACATGAAAATTCACTTGGAACGTTACCAGAGAGATTTCTTATTTAGACTAAGAGGTGTTTCATGCTCCCAAAGGAACCTAGGAGCTGCTTTTACAATAGACATTCAGCTTCACATACGAAATAGGCATCTCTGAGAAAGTGGCCCTAGGGACAGTTTGGAGCATTCAGAGGAGTATTAATTGAGGTCCAAGGGCGGGGGCAGAGAGTTCAATACATGAACTCACTTGTTACAAAAATGGAATAGACAGAAAGGATGCTAGTCCAAAAATCAGGTGATGTTTTTTAGTTTGGATTTAGGGTTTGAATAGTTCCCTGAACTATTGTTTCTGATTTACAGATTCTAAAATGCCAAGTAATAAAACTACAGTATGATTGCCTAATTCAGAATAAGTTGAGAAGTCTGTCTTCCTAATTTTGTTTCATTAGTTTCACTCTTTTGTTTTCTCCCATCCCCACATCATGCTAGGAATGGGAATAGTTGTGTTGTAGATTAAGGCAAAACATCTGTTCTAAGTAGAGTTGCAGTTTTTGACTAACTACCTGTCTGACAGTGGAAATGATAAAATGGGATTAAAAAAAATCTGCCAACTTGCTAATTTTAGATATCGGGGAAACAAGAATTAGATTATAGTGATGCGCTCAGTGAAAGGTCTTGATCTGAGAGTAAGAGGCTTTTATGGGTAAGTTATTGCCCTCTGCAAAGGAAACCAGTGTTCATCCCAGGACTCTAGAAAACCAAGAATACCAAAGGTAGGAAGCTAGTCATTCTCCTTAATTCACCGATGTCCCACAGAAAGAATTTAGTATATGATGCAGTCAGCTTTGCCAAGAGAGTGATCAGGGAGATTAAAACCCAGGTAATTGTGTGCTCTTCTCTGAGAAGTTGGCTCCAAGTAACTGGGACTATATTCATGGACCAGGCCTAGCTACACTGGGTGCAGAACTCCTCCAGAGGATCAATACTTGGGCCTTTGAAACACAAGGATCTTGAAAGAATCAGAAGTCATTCCAGTCCAGTCCTGGGTACTGAGTTAGGGACTCAGCCAGGTAACAGTATTTTGAGACAAAAATGAGATTGGGTCATAAAGTCATGAGATAAAGCTTTTGGTTGATTCGTTATTAACTAAAAACAGTCCCAGATCAGAAGTTTAAAAAAAAATTGTCCTTACCAATGATGACATCAATCATTAGAATCAACGTGTAGTAGGTTACGGAGATTTAAGTTCCCGCATGTATGTTTGTTAAAGTTCTCTCTTGCTATTCTATAAACACAAGATATTTTGGTTTTGTTTTTTACCAACATTCAGTCTCAGGTTACCTGACATACATGCAAACAGGAAGCTAGTCCTCCAAAACTGTAGGTTAACATGATTTTAAGAGTTTTTTTTTTCAGAGGTGACATTTTTTTCCTTTACAAGAAACTAAAGCGGCAGGGACGCTATTTTATCCCTGGAGAAGAAATGGCATACCCTCCTTCTCAAAGAAAGAACATTCTGTAGTCCCTGGCTACCTCAAAACTAATTTGGCTCTCTTAAGAAGAGACATTACTCTCTCTATTGGAGAGAGATGGGCAGTGCCAATGTGAAGGTTACTAGTCTTTTCTATTGTTGAAGACATCTATTCTTAGCAGATCCTGTACCTCAGGGGCACCAGTGTAGTCAGGTATAAGCAAATCAGCTGTGTGATAACAAATGGCAACAACACACCTTCTCTTTGTCAGAGTGACAATAAGGCATGGTGGGGACTATGGCAAATTGAAGAACTTCTGTCCTACCTACAGGGAGAGGCTGCTCCAGTTGATTGTGGACATGAAGTGTTTCCCAATCTTCCCATTTCTCAAGAGAAGCTGAAAATTTTTTTCTTTCTTTTAATATTGGCAACTAAAATTTTAAAATATTTAAATTCAAGACCAACAGAACATACAGATGGACCTAATTTGGCTCCCTGGCTGCCAGTTTGTGATCTCTGCTTTATAAGATTTGAAATGAACATCACCCATGGTAATTACAAATAAACCATGCCACTAATGCTAAATCCAGCCAGTAGCTGGATTATTTCTTTCCCCTAACTCTCCTTCAAAGAAATTTGAGGTGATTCTGAATGTATTTTTGTAAGGTTTTAATTGCTTCTTTACATTTAATTTCAAGTTCAGATTTATTGTCTTCCAATTTAAGAAACAGAATGTTTTGAACAATTTCACTTAAACTCCACAACCCCTAGGGCTCATGTGTAATCCTTTTTTAGATGGTGTGCAAATCTGAACTTAGATCAAGACCTAATTAGAAAAACAGGCATATGTGGGTAATAAGGCAAAGAATCTCCTAGTGTCCACTACAGCCAGGTATGCATTACCTTCTGTTTTAAATGATCTGTGAATCGACTCTTGGCTGTGTGAAACTGTGGACGGAGAAAAGCTTTTCCTGATGTTGAGATACAGGGGAGACCCTGTGGGTGTTGGGTCGCCCTTGCTGTTTCCCCTCCTTCCCAGGCACAGGGTGAAAGTAAACAAAAGAAAATCTGTAAGCCAATAGCTTTGATTCCCATTTCAGACCTCAAGGGCTAGAAGAAAGTTTAGATTATCTCACGTGTTCCCTCCCTGGAGTCAAGACCGGGGCTGCACTGAATTATTCCAGACATATGGCTGCAGATGAGGTTGTGGATTTTTAGTAAAGGAGATTCTGTAACCTACCCTGCTGATCAGATAGTTTTTTGTATGTTCTTCCTTATAGAAATGCAAACCAGCTTTCTTTTGTTGAGGGTGTAGTGGAGAAAGAACAGCTGGTCACCTTCCGTGTATCTGAAAACCACAGTGAAGTCAACCCCCTGGTGTTTTTATATCAGTGGTAAATAATCCCACCCAGTTAAACCATTCTTCACAGCTCCTGTTTTCCAAAGGTTTAATAATTTTCACTGCTCTTTAGTTTCTCAGTTTCACACTTGTTTTAGTTGCTCAAACAGAACATCGGTGCCTTCTTCATATTGGTGCCTTGTGATGGCCAAGCTCAGGGTGGGATTATAGGAAAATTCATATGTGCCCAGTGCCTCTTAGCATGTAAAAATAGAATGGCACTTTAAAAAAATGGTGTGTTGCTTACATTCATTCTAAGAATTAGTAGGCTACCATTCCCCTCTCCTCCTGCCCTTGGTAATGGTCCTATTTTGTGGTTTATTTTCCTTCCTAAGGGCAAACATTTGGTGCTTACTTCTGATGTGTTGATTGTCGTTCCTGAATTTCAGGATACTCTTTTAGACCAGCTCTTACCTTCTGAGTGGCAGCTACCCTCCCCTCCCAATTTGTGATTCTATTTTTGCATATCTTTACCTTTATTTGGTGACTCATAATATCACTACATGGTACAGACTTCAGTTTAACCACTGGTGAGATGATGCAGCAGTTTAGTTGCTAAGTGCCACCTTCCCGTTGTCATCTGGGGACTAATTTGCAGACACCTTTGAATCCTCCAATGAGGACCTCTGGGGAATTTTGGCCAATTGTCTTCTCTCCTGCTCTTTGGTTCCTCTCCAGAATTCCATGGGAACCACAGACACCTCAAGGACTTCTTCTGCATTCCAGGGGGCT